TCCGAAAAAGACTCTTTTAGAACAAAGCCACAGATATGCTATATGATTTTTTAAATTCTTCAAATGGAATACCATGTAGTTTATATCACCAATTAATTTATTCAATTCTTTACTTTTTATTTATGGACTACTCTGTATTTAAAAATAATTTTAAAATATGGTTGTCAACAGTAGGTACAATTTTTGTATTTAAAATGTCTTCGTACTCCAATAAAAAACTGCCATCAATCATATACGCACTGACGGAACACCCTGTATATTTCACAAAAAAAATACTCATTTGAGAACTGTTTCATTCTTTTTTAAAAACATTCTATTTAATTTAAAAAATATGTATTTTATTTAGCAGTCAAAGGCGTAACGCTATATCAAAAATATTTTTGTACTTCAGGGACTAAAACACGCATTTTTGGTACTAAAGTGCCACTTTTACTCCCTTGAGACTAAAATATTTTAGTCCCAAGGGATTAAAAAATTGAAGTACCACAAATAACATAACCAATAAAAACCATAGCAAACTACTTTAGTAAAGGTTTTCACTTCTGTCTTAAGCACACAATTTTTTTATTATTACACGTTTATGTATGTTATGTTGGGAATGGGCAACAATCTTCGCTTTCGGGATTAAAAGTGGCACTTTAGTCTCTTGGTAAATAATATATTATTTATGCACTATGACTAAAAGTGTACTTTTAGATCGCATTTTCAGGGATTAAAATGGAATTTTTACTCCCCAGGAACTAAAAGTACAATATATATCATGCAACCAAAAATACAGTACAATGTATAATACAGGGTGTCCCAAATTGTTTTACCCATGCTATAACTTCCAAACTATGTAAGATAATCGAACCGGACAAAATTCATCCATTATAATTGGCGGGGTACTTTAAAACAAATAAAAATTTTATGACCCACCCTCAAAAAATTATTAACGACACCCTAATTTTTTTTTGAAATCGCTCCATAAATAAGTGAGATTCGTTTTTTTTTTTTTTTATTTATATCAAGTTGCTTGGGGCATAAACGTATGATGTGGTTTGTTCAATAGTAGGATTATAGGTCCTCATTTTTATGAAAACACTCTAACGAGAATAGGATATCGTGATTTTTTAATCAATACCGTTCTTGATTTGTTGGAAGGTGTTCCTCTTAATCAAAGATGTGATATGTGGTGGCAGCAAGATGGTGCACCAGCTCATAATGCACAAATTGTGAGCCAATATTTGGCAAACACCTATGGAAACCGTGTTATATCCACGCATTCTCCAATTATCCAGTAGCCGGCTAGGTTGCCTGATTTGTCGCCTCTAGATTTTTTTTCTGGGGTACTATAAAGGACGTAGTATACGAAATAAAACCAGACATGTTTGTAACAGATTTACACTGGCCATGATTCGAGCTGCCTGTACTAAAAATTTATTGTTAAGGTTTGATAAATATGTGGAAGTGGGAGATGGGCAATTTGAGCAATTATTATAAGTTATTACTGCTCTCTGTTTGTTGATATTTATGTCTTGTCTTCTCCTTCTCTTGCTTTAATGTATTTTTTATAAAGTATTTTTATCATCAACTACAGTTTTATTTAATTTCTCACTTATTTATGGAGCGATTTCAAAATTTTAAAAACAGTTTTACAGAGAAAAGTAGCAACTACAAAAATGAGCAAAAAAAAAATTAGGGTGTCGTTAATAATTTTTGAGGGGGTTGTTCCAGGGGGGTAGTTTTTGAGGGTGAGTCGTCAAATTTTTATTTGTTTCAAAGTACACCGCCAATTATAATAGATGACTGTCCGGTTCAATTATCTTGCATGATTTAGAAGTTATAGCCTAGGTAAAACAATTTGGGACACCCTGTATACGTCAACACTGTAACAATAGCAATCTTGTACTAGCATCGTCATTGTGTTGTTATTGGAGTATCGTTAAGTGTTTTTTTTTTATAATTTTCATTATCATATTTTTTGTTTTCATTTTTCTTAAATAGATAAAATAGCATATAAACCACAGGACTGAAGTGTCTTTTTATCCCTCTACGAATTATAGTCCTCTCTACGGTTGGGCTGAAAACTTGTCGGTATAAAAAGTGACAGGTTATTCCCTTCCCACATAACATCAATGTTCTATGAATATACTAAGAAGGTTCTGTTTATGTTTTTTTTAGTATGTCCTTTTTAGAATGTTCTTAAAACATACCTAGTATATGCTGAGTACGTGCCTTAAAAGTATATTCCAAAAAGTATATACTGAGCACGTGCTATAACAGGACATTCTAAGAAGATACTAAAAGTCATATACCCAGCATGTACCTCATATTCTGAGAATGTTCTAAATGCTTGCAGGTAAAAATTAACACCAAATACATGTAAAAAACGTTTATATACATATCTATATGAATATATAAATTTTTCCCAGATGCCGATCTATTAATTCGTTAGCAAACGCACTAATGTTTAGGCTAAAAACAACCTTAATAAAAAATAAGAAGAAGAATAACATAACCTACAATTCCTACAAATTCGTTTCAGTAAGTAAATTAGTAAAAATTAATTGCATCGTGTGTTCTATATAAAAATAAACAAATTTTACAATATTTGTAGTTTTTAGGACCTATAAGTGATGTTAGAACACAGGATATCCCAAATATTAATTGCCAGTGTGAATTTATTAATATGGTTAATACTAATGGCGGATTGAAACTAAAATTTAGTGCTACCAGAATTACATACACACTTTTTATGAAAAAAATCCTGTAAGGCCAGAAATTGACCTGGAAGAACTAGCTAAAGGAGGAGGAAAACTACAAAATGGTGGTAAGTAATTAACAAAAATATATTTAAACTTTCACTAAACATAATAATCATTTATGTAACTCTTGTTTTTGTTAGTGAAATGCCATGTATAATTTTTAATGTTTCACGTTCGACAAAAATATTCCATTAGCTATGTACAGTTAATTTGTATATGTATCAAGTTTGTTGATTTTTTTTATTTTTTAGATTGAATGAAAATCCAATGGAATCAAGCAAATTAAACTCAAGCAATTGATACAATGCAATATTGGTTGGTTAAGGCAAAAGAAAGAATTTGTATTAAAAATAAGAATAAGTATGAATTTTTTTAAATAAAGATTTCATTATATACACTTATTCTTTATTGTTCAATATTAATGAAACATCCTGTATTAGGGTGTCCAGTATATGCCTAGCATATGCTATATTTAAATACTAAGCATATACTTAGAACGTACTATCAAATTAAAGTACCTATTGCATACTGTACACATACTCGAGTACATTCTCAGCATCTGCATAGTACGTATAAACAACGTCACGTAGCATATTCTTGGTATATTCTGAGAATGTTCCAAATGCAAATAAAGTATATTCTCAGCATATGCACATTCTTAAAAAGCATATACTGAGAATATGCTAAGAATGCATAATTGTTATCTGGGTTGATGTATAATATACTATTAAATCCACATGATATTTATTTGAAACTTTTTGAGTGTCTATTACACAACTTGAAGTATCAAGCAATTACCGACTAATAGGACATCCCATATAAAAATAAAAAATACATAAAATGAAAAAAAAAATTACAACAGAAAATTTAAAAACTGAAAATAGCTAAATTTATGCAGAACTATTTTTCTTATGTAGGTATGTATTCTTTTCCTGATTATTTTAAACTCTCAGTCAGGATCCAGGCACTTGCCCCTCTTTCCCCTGATAAATCTCGCCTTCGCTCTTGGATCACTGTATCACTGACCAGGGCTTTTTCAGAGCTTCTTGATACGTCCCATTAATAAATGGAAAAGAGAAGAATTGTTTAAAATACAGACTAAGATCTTTTATTTTGAAAAATGTAAAAGAAGTGATGTTTCAAACAAGATGAAGCGAAGACCTAATTCTGAAGAATATGTTTTTTAAAGCACTGCAACTGATTAATAAATAATTTCAAAAGTCGATCATTTCATCAATACACTTTAAATTTTGAGTAAAACTAACAAAAGTCTATAGGCGTTTTCGGAAACCTACTGTAGAATACAAATCCAGATTACTGGATTTACCCGATGGATCACGTGGATCACTGAACTTAGTGCCCACAGTTTACGAACGAATTGGATTATTGTTCCTGTTCATCTACGTTTTTTAATCTTTGACTTTTCCCTCTTATTTATTAAAGAATCATTTTAAACATATTTGTAGTCTGACTAATTAAGTCACAATATGGGCATAAAAATTACAAGTTATAAGTGATTGAATGTAGAAAAAGCTTCACAGCTACTGGCATACACCAAACACCAAAAAATTGTGTTTTCCCTTTATAAAATCATGCGGTGTGCATGCGGATCTATTACTAATCTAATTGTAGAGTGGGTCACAAAACATTGATCTCGATCACAAAGCTGGATCAGTAATCGAACACGGTAGAGTTAGTAACCATAGGTAAACGAACAATCTTTCTGATCCGAGTTTTCGAAAACGCCTTATACCTATAAAAGACCATTTATAGTCCATTCAATCCTTATATTTGATCTCAAAGTCCATCAGTAAACTAAAACTTTTTATTACTATGAAAATAAATGCATACATACCATACATACTTATTGTCTATTTTCTATGGCTTTTTGTCTAAATTAGGTGAAAATAACCACATTTGTACCGAAAATAAAGAATCATATACAGTGTCCTCTCACAGCTAGATCATTTACAAATTTTACACGTGTACGAGTATATAGACATTCTCGTCGAATAACTAGAATTTTATCATGTATTGCACAATAATTACATTGGACCAAAAAAACCTTGTATACATTTCCAATTAAATGCATTTTATACAAATATTTAACCTAAATGTTTCATTATTCTAAATTTTGACTGGGTCTTCAATTTTCGTTAACATAATATATTTGTCAAATTTGTTTTTAAATTAGAACAATGACATCATAGAAAGTACAAATAATAATAATAATAATAATATTATTATTATTATTTTTATTATTATTTATTACATGACCAATAATGACAAACATAAATACCTAAAATTAGCAGAAGAAATGTATTAGTACTTCTTTAGTTTTTTATTATTTTTGGCTGTATCTCCAGTTGCCGCTTTCTTTATCAAACATTTCTATTTTCATTTTTATTGTTCATAGAAGACACCACATCTTGTGCTTTTGGGCATTCCGCTGTTGGTATTCTTTCCCATACCCAGTCCCCATCCAGCGGTATTTCATTTTCGAAATCAAAATTCCACTTATTTCTTTTCACCTCTTTTTCAGTCTCGGTAAATTTTTCTAGCCACTTCGATGGATCATAACAATCAACAGTTTCGTCAAAGCACAGCCTCCTACGGACTTTATTTAATCGATCTGATGACCATCTGTTCGAGGTTGAATCGTCAGATGTGGGATGAACCGTGGAACATTCCGAAGTTGAGTGTTCTGAAGTGAGGTTTTCGGGATGGGGTGTAAAATCGTTAGATCTTTTATCTGGACTAACGTTGGTGACATTGTTGATGTTGTCCATTAAAATTATTGGATCTGAAATATAAAATATATAAAGTTAATAAATTATTAAATCAAATATTGGTAAAAATTACGGTATTGTTATTTAATAAATGAATTAGTTGGTATCCTAATAATAGCTGGATAGCAAGCAAATCCATTCGTAAAAGGGTGGTCGATTATGACGAATTTATGTTTTAATAACTGTACCAAAGCTTTAGATGTTTTAATAACTAGACCAAAGCTTTAGATGTAATATAATATAATGTAATATATTAGGACTTTCCTAAAGCATTTGATTTGGTTCCACACAGTAATTTATTATACAAAAAATGGGAGAACTATGGGGTACAAGTGGATTAGTCAATTTCAATGGGGCAGAATGTTTTGTGTAAATAGGTGAATAGTTATCTAGTAATAAATTAGTTCCCAGGATTCTGTTTTAGAATCTCTTCTTTTTGTGTCTTACATTAAAATATCATATCAAGAGCAACATGTCTTTCTACGTTGTGAAATCAACATCTACTCACATCCTACTTCAAACTCCTGTTATCTCCATGATCTTAATTATATTGTTAAATAGTCTACTGCAGGGGTTCCCAACCCTTTTACTTTTTATTGCGTAAGAACATAACATACAAATACATAAAGTAAAAAAGCTTGTGGGAGCTTAAGATTGATGTATAATTAGACCCTAGTGATTTTTATAATATCGAAAATCTCGCGACACACCTGACAGGTACTAGCGACACACCAATGTGTCGCGACATGATGGTTGAAAACCGCTGTTCTACTGACTGGCTACAACAAAGACGGGTAACTTAATAGGAAAATTTGTTCGGTAGTCCATTTAAATTACATACATGACTTTCTTTCTCTTTTACATTGATCTGAACAGATTTTTATATCGCTTTCATGAAACTCCAACCAGCGCTAGAGGTAGCAGAAGTTGCTAGTCTTTTTGACGTTGTGGACGTGTGACCTATAGACTAGGACTAACAACTGACAGTATTTTAAATGCGATTATGAACGTATGCATTTTATTAATATTATTTTAATTTGTGTCACCGTTTATTCCTTTGAGTCAGCTTTTGTTGTTTAATTATTTTGGATAGTGTTTATTTTCGCATATTATTTTTAGCATGGAGCAGTTTCTCGCAAACAATATTATTGAAGTCAGACCATAGCAGACCTTACCATTGTTTGTTTAAATAATGCTTGTGGTACCAATAATGTGAGCAATAAAGCATCTAGGATCGTCAGTAGTGGATTCTTACATAATGATTGAAAGACAGAAAATTGTCAATATATTACCCACCCCATTTAATTTAATTTACAGCATCTCTGTTTAGTAAACAGAATATTGAAATTAAAGTTCCTAAGCATCAAATTGCTCTGTTGTAATCAAAATTTAGTGATGTCAGAAAATAAGAATCTAAGAGTTTGTTAATTTTTGGGAACATGCATAAAATTAAGGGACATCATATGGACCCTGAAATACAATGTGCCATGGAGGTCAACCTAGTTGCTCAGATTTTAAGTACAAGTGTGTCATCGTTTTTGTACACATTACTTTCTAGAGGTAAGTAATTTCCAATTTATTAAAAAAATCAACAACTCCTGTATATTGTGTGTGTTTAATATATTACAAAATGTCTATTATTATTTTAGATGAAATGAAACAGAGCTCCATTGTTACAGCTGCATTTGTTCATTAAGTAGATGAACGTTTTGACAGCATTAATGGCAGCACACCACCTACTAGAAAAGAAGTAAAATGTATGTCGAGCAAAAAATCTCCCCACATGTAATATTGGCAAGGGGTTTTTGAAATGGTCAAGGATTGGCAATTTCTTACGATTGTAGAGTTATTTAAACGAAGAAAAAAAATTGAATTACTAAAACCCAGAATTTTAAAATTGTAAAATCTATTTGGGGACATCAGGTCGGATTTGGGTTTTAGAGAGGGATATATCTCAAAAAGTTAACTTATCCTGCAGAACAACTAGTAGTTTCAATTGGAACTTTATTAGAAGATATCCTTGATACTAATTGTAACATACCAATTGTTTCAAATTAAACTGAAAAAATTAGGTTTTTCATGGGTAAAATGTGATATTCATTCAAGGGGGTATGGAAAATAGGTATACCCTGGTGGTGTAAGAAACATGGAGGACAAAAAAAATTATTAACAGAAAATAAAAAAAAAATTATGCATATTTAATTAGTGTCTATTATTATTAATTATTATTTATTATAATTATATGCTACGTTTGAAAAGTACCTCTTGCTGCAGAGCGGATCGAACAGATTTTTTGTTAGGTGACCATAGAGCCAACAATACTTGGATGGAATAAAAAACGGCTATCTTAAATTGGTTTCGTATAAGAGAAAACTAATTGGAGAAGGTCCACCTAGTCGCCAAATTAGGAGACTCGGAGGACATAACAGAATACATACTCACAAGAAACACAAAAGAAACGACAAGCTTCGTCAACGTTCTGTTTAAATAACGATAGTATGTTATCCTTCTATTGATCTTAATCTTGAGGACCTTTGCAGGAAGTGTTACCAGGCGGATGGACGAAATAAGTCTAGCAGGTTTTGATCCAATTTACAGGATGGGAACTTATTCGACTCGGGCCTTATACATTTGTGTGAGTGTTTCGTTTCCATGGTTTCTATTAAAATAAACAATCAGAACCTATACTCTATACGTAATAAAATATTTGTTTTTTTTTTTTTTTAATATATTGGGAATATATAACATCTTTTTTCTATTTTTCTTGGTTTCGTAAAACTTTTCAATTAAAGAACAACTGTGACCATATTTCATTTTAATTTGTCACAAATTGATATTTACTCCTAAAGCTCTGAAATTTAATATGGAGTAAACAGACCTCTCTGCATTAAAAGACCATAGAGCAGATCCGACAGAAAGAAAGTAGAAGTACTAAAAGAACGGCATCAAGTAAAAAAGAGCACGACGAGATACTTTCTAAACGTATCACTTGTAGTTAGAAAAATACAAATTATAGAAAAAGAGTTTGGGGTATTATTTTTCCAATTATAAATATTAATAATCACTAGTTTTTTTTTAGAGAAATTTACAAGAGTAATAAAAACTATGTTCACTGCATGCAGGGTGAGGCACCGAAAACGAAACAGATCGCATATCTTGAAGACATGAAAGTGATAAGAGGGTTCATGACTGGGCACGCCCCAGTAAAGGGACACTTCAACAAAATTGGCATGTACAATGGGGAACTTATGTCACAAGAAACCAGAAACGGCCAAACACATACTGTGCAATGCGAAGCTCTAGATCGCAAAAGACAGGCTCTTTTTGGACAACCCCAGGTTGATCCAACAACGTATAGAATCCACTAACCCAAGGATCTGTTGAAACTTGTACAAGGTACAAAAGTGACAGAGTGTGTGCTATGAACTACCATGGGGTAAAACACAATAAGCCAATAGGCTTCAGTGTTATTCGGAGACACATAGTCAGACGAGCCCAGGAAAAAACAAATCTTGAAGACACATTTTTTTGAAGAAAATCACATACTTTGATTACTATACGGTGCAAGAGAGAGGTCCGACATGCTCAACATAGGACGCGGCCATTTTGATTCTTATGTCACAGTTTATAACTAAAGAATCAGATCGCTCACTCTGCGTCGGCACTTTTGATCTCAATGTTCCAGTTTATACACTGCGCAACTCGGTTAATACAATATATGACTACCGCCTATAATAAAACAGCAGTCTTCTGCGTATTCTGAATTTGTATCCCTGGAGTGGATGTTATTTTGGAACTTTCAACTGGTGCGAGTGAGCTAACTGATTCTTTAGCAATAAACTGTGACTCCAAAAATAATATTCACTGACACCCGACAATTCCGAAGCAGAAGCGGATGATTAAAACGCACCTATTAAAAATATTGCGCCAAGATGTAGGCAACACGTAATAAGGGATCAAAATGGCGGAGTTTTCTATCTCCTTTTAAAAGGCACTCAGAAAGCTGCACAGTAAGACCATTCTCAGTATAGTAAAAGAAAATCAAAATATGTGAATAAAATGCAGAAAAGGTCGATTTTTATTTCAAAGGGGACATCTTTCGATCATATCCTCAACTATTCTACATCCCTCTCTACCCCTCTGTCACTATTACCAATGAAATGAAATTGAAATAGGGAAAGTACTAAGTGTGACATATCATTGAAAAAGTAATTTTATAAGGAATTTAACTGTGTGACATATGACAGTTCAAATAGGCGTATTGTCATGTGAAAGCCAAATTTAAAAATTTAATGCATAATTATTTCCATAACTACCAGGTCTGTTTTTTAGTTTAGCGTCATTGATACTTCAATTCTATTAGCGAGTAAAACATAAAAATGGTTTATTCTATTCAGGAGAGAGTAGAAATTGTTGAATGTTATTTAAAAAATAACGAATGTGCTAACACTTTTCAATTTTCAATGAGCGACACCCAAACAAACAGGTTAAACGTAAGTACGTTTTGGAACTTATTTCAAAATTTCGACAAACAGGATCTGTTCAAAATAAAAAACGGCTGATTCAAAATCCAGTAAGAAACGAAGCCGTAGAGGTAGCCGTTTTAGGACAAGTTGTTGCAGATCCAACTCTTAGTACAAGAAAGCTTGCAGAATTATCTGGAGTAAGTGACCGTACCGTCAGGAGAATTTTGAAAGCCAACAAATTCCATCCCTTTAAAATTCATTTAGTTCAGGAACTTAACGAAGACGATTTTGATCGCCGCTTGCAATTTTGTGAAATCATGAGCGAGCATGCTATATAAGATCCACATTTTCTTTATAACATTTGTTTTTCAGATGAATGCAGTTTTTATGTTAACGGGACTGTCAATCGACATAATTGATACTGGTCAGATTCCAATCCAAGAGTATTTCATGAAACGCCATACTCAACACCCAGAAAAGTTAAACGTTTGGGCTGGAATATTTGGCGATCGTATTGTTGGTCCATTATTTTTACCAGGTACTTTAAC